AAATTGTTTCATATAATATTTAATGAAATTTTAATGAAACTGTTTCATGTATTTCTCTAAAATTAAAATAATGAAGATGATAATATCCATGATTAACACCCTCCACAACAAAAATGGTCAATCAACCTCTCATAATTACAAAAAAATGAACAAAATAAAAAATTATGATTGGTTTATGAGGTTTTCACAGTTTTTACAAATTGAGTAGTTTTTATTTGAACGCTCCCCTATATATATATATATATATATATATATTAAAAGAAGAACCGAGAGGTAATCAGGTGCATCATGAGAATTAAGTACTGAAATATTGGTTAATTGTGGTTGAGTTTGAGATATCCCACTTTTATTGAGAGATTGAAATAAATAGATGTGTATAAGGGGAAAAAAATTCATTGTGTCAACTCAATAGGCATGATTCATAAGTTTATCGTATTTGGATGACTCTCTTTTGCAAAACAAATCTTATTTTATAATAATAAATTATGTTTATGATCATGGATAAATATATACATATCAATCTTTATGTATATATATGAAAGTAAGATTCACAATAAATGATGTGAAACCCTAATAATTAAGTATTCTACATTTCTAGCATTGAGGTTTGTATCCTGCATTGATGGAGAGATAAAAGATTGACAATTGATGGTAAATGTATGATAGGAGGTTGAAGTGTCTTTGTTTTAACTCATAGAGTTGGATTCTCTTGGCTAATCTTATAAACTCATATTGTCGGCTGATGTTGGCTAACCCTCCAAACTTATAGGGCTGGTTCATTTTGGCCAACGCTCTATTTGCAAAAACATTATCTATATAAGAAAATCAATATTATATATATATATATATATATATATATATATATATATATATATAAGTTCCAAAAGAAATGATGATAGCACCCTAAGAATTGAGTATTATATATTTCTTGCATTGAGGTTGAGTTTTGTGTATTTCATATTCATGGAGAGATAAAAGATCAATAATTGATGGTAGATATATGAGATGTGGTTGATGTGTCTTTGTTTTAACTCATGGGGTTGATTTTGTTAGCTAATCTTATAAATTCATATTGTTAGTTTATGTTGACTAACCCTCCAAACTCATGGGATTGGTTCATTGTGACCAACCCTTTATTTGCAAAAAAAAAAATTATCTTTATAAAATCTCTCTCTCTCTCTCTCTCTCTCTCTATATATATATATATATATATATATATGATCTTGGGATATTGAGGTGGTACAATGAGAATTGAGTATTCTCAAATGATGAATTGTACTTGAGTTTTAGTTGTCCCACATTAATGAAAAGTTGAAAGATTTGAACAAAATAAAGTGTATAAGAAAGTGGATYGGATGTCTTTGTGTCAAATAATGGGGTTTGTCTCATAAGATTGCCTTATTTTGGATGACACTCTTTGAAATCTATAACCATGGTTAAAAACCAAACCAAGCAAATGGTAAAAATTATAGTGCAAAATTAATTATATTATATTATTATATCTTTACATATATAAAAGTAAAATCTTGGGGTGATGAGGTGGTCCCATGAGAATTATAAAAGTAAAACCTTGGAGTATTTATGTGACATAATAAGAATTTAATATTCTCAAATGGTGAACTGTGATTGAGTTTTAGTTGTTCCACATTGGTGAATAGCTGAAATATCTTAACAAAGTGAAGTGTATAAAAAGATGGATTGGTACCTTTGTGTCGATTCATGTGGTTTGCCTCATAGGATTGTCTAACTTTTTTTAGAAGAGGACTTCAAATGTTAGTCTATGACATTCATGTTGAAGATGGTATTAGGTTGGACCGTTGGAACACTAGTTAATAATTATAGTAAGAGTAAACCTACAAAGTAAATACATATAAATAAGGTAAATAACATATATGTATATGTATATGTACATGTTGATGTTGGGAGAAGCATAACATATATTTTCATGTTTAAAAGAAAAACAATCATATTTTGTTTTTAAATTATTAGGAAAAAAGAAAGAAGAATAAATGAGAGGTGGGGTGTGTGTGATTATGAAATGTTGTTTCCTGTCCAATTCCAAATACACGTCCACACGGAATCTCCACACGTGTTATGAGTTTGACTATTTATTTATGAGTGGTCCTCATCAAAACATGTTTTTTCTTTTATTATTTACTTAAAATCATCAAACCATCTAATAAAACAGATTTTCAATCTCTCATCTCAAACTTCACACAACGCAATATAATATAATATATATATTAACACCGATTCTTTCTCTCTTCTACTAGATTTAACGTACAAATGTAATAAAGCCCCAGATATATTAGAAACCCCCCCGACTCCAAAGGGTAATTAATGTAAAAGTTGGAAGGTAATATGTGTGCATGTTGATTTATGAAACAAACCCCCCCTTCCTTCCTGCATTAACTTTCACTTAGCTTACGAATGAAATGCATGCAGGGAGGCAAAAGCCACAAGGAAAAACAAATACAAATACAAATACAAATACAAATATAAATACAAATACAAATACAAATACAAATACAAATACAAATGATGAACCACTCTGTCTTTCTTAACAATCAATCTCTTGCATTACAAAAGCAATAATACGTAACCAACCCTTAATAGAGTCTATTTTATATTTATTCTTACTGATTCTTAAGAGCACAACCACCGCTCACAACCGCGATTTTGATTTTGCTTTTGCTTCTGCTTCTGCTTCATCCGCTCCCCCGATGCTCTGCAACCAAACCAACACATTTCCTAATCAGTCCCCACAATCACCAATTACCCAAACAACACAACACAAAAACAAACAAATTACCAGAGGAGACCCAAGTGCAGCTCTTTCAGCCAAGTACCCACAGGGCTTGAAGAAGTCCCCATACATCTTTGACCACTCCTCCAGCCTCCCACATACGTATTTTGATCCTATGGAATCTCCCCAAAACATGATCCCTCCCCTGTATGGTGGAAACCCCATTCCCATTACACCAGCAATGTCCAAATCAGCTGCTTTTACTGCAATTCCCTCCGCATATACTCGACAAGCCTCGTTCACAACAGGAAACAGCACCATCTCTATTATCTCCTTATCCGACAATTTCCCAAGCTGATGAATCAAAAACACCTCCCACCTTAATTTTTCATATGATAATAATAATAGGAACACCACTACTACTACTACTACAACTACTAGATTCAATCACAAATAACTAACCTTAAGATCAACAGAAACGCCAGCCAGTTCCCTTGCCTTCTCGATGTATTTCTTTATTTCAGGATCTGGACTTGCTTTTCGCTTATCATTGTATACATAGAAGCCTTTTCGAGTCATTTCACCTGTTCAACAACAATCACAACTTCTTCAACAAATTTATCAATCTAATCTTGATGTTTATAACAACAACAACAATACCAGCTCTTTTATCCTCTTGCATCAGTGGAATTAGCATTGATGCATATGTTCTTTCCGGAAAGTTTCGAACAAATTGTGACCCGGTGGCGATTGCAACACCAAAACCGACAAGATCACACAATCTGCATCGAAAGAAAGAAAAACATGACTTCACAAGAGATAATAATAATATGATAACCATCTCATCTCTTGTATATGAACCTGAAAGGCCCCATTGGCATTCCGAATTTTGTAATTGCCCTATCAATCCTATAGATGTCGGCACCACGTTCTACCAGCAAAAGAGCCGCTTGGGTATATGGGAAGAACATCCTATTGACAGCAAATCCCGTGCAATTGCCAACCACAACTGGAGTTTTCCTTATCTTCTTCCCCACATCCAGCAAGTCAACAACCACTTGAGGGGATGTTTTCGCCGTACGAACAATCTCCAAAAGCGGCATAATATGAGCAGGGCTGCACCGCGAAACAAATTAATCAAAGCCATAGCGGGAGCGATTAGAAGTTAATAAAGACTACGAGTAACAATCAATTACCTAAAAAAGTGTGCCCCAATGATCCTATCATGAGATTTAGTCTTCTCACCAATCAAATTCAAGTCGATTGTGGAGGTGTTACTTGCAAGTATGCAATGTGGAGAGCAATATTTTTCCAAATCCGAAAATATTTGTTGTTTCAAAGGGACATTCTCAATAACAGCCTGTTTGGTCGTTCAACATCAAGAAGATTAACATTCAGAGATAGAGTCTAGTAACTAATTATGGTTTTGTTTATTTCTTTGTTCTCCATTTTGTGGGTCATATTCAGGCTCACATCAATAATACCCATAAAATGGGAATGCTAAATGATCGAAACAAACAGTGAGTAAATTTTTTACTGATCTCATACCTCTATAACCATGTCAACATCCCTAAAGCTTTCATAGTCAAGAACACCCTTGAGACGAGAGAGAGTTTTCTCAAACTTCTCTTGACTCAATTTACCTTTCTTAACGCTGTTTGTCAAATTGGCTGCATATAAAATATAAGATCACTCACCATTACTTAATTGATAGATAAGTAACAACTTCTAAGAAAGTAATTTACTGTATATCAAGTTAGCAAAACATCAACTCTCGTCATACCTTTGACTCTGCCCAATCCACCCTCTAGGAACTTTTCATTGACTTCTTTCAGGTAAACTTGATACCCACTTAGAAGTAGAGCTGTTGCTATCCCTGATCCCATCAGACCTCCTCCAAGAATAGCAACCTTGTTCATCCGTCTTGGCTTCAGACCCTGGTCGGTGACCCCTGGCACCTGTTAACACACATGTGCACAAAAAGACTTTAATCTTACTCATCTTGACCATCCAACATTTTGGTTTTGTAATAGGTGTCCCATTTATATGATGCATGGAAAAATGAAGATGGGACCCACAAAATAGAAAACGGGGAACAGTATAGACGAATAGTACCTAAAATGACGACAAGCAGCATAATAAAGATAAAATTTCTAAAATGGCATATGGTTGCATGACAATTGCAGAAACCTTTCTACTAAAAATGATCACGAAAAGAACAATTCAGTTATTGGTTATGCTATTAGACAGTTCCAACTTTGCATTCCTTCTACAGATTGCAACTTCTGCATATAACTCTATCAAAAATCCATTGTATCAACAGTATATGATTCTAGGTTCATGAATTTGTGGTTACCAATATAATCCTAGCCATAAGTTGAAGGAAGAAGATGAATTATGATACGTCCTCTTCCCATGAAGTTAAGAAGTTTGATCATGGTGGATAGTTAAAGTAAGGGTTTTGCCTAGTTGTCAAATTTTAAGATCCCTTCAACAATTACGAGATATGGTAAGATTAACCAAATCGACTTCATTATTTCTATGCAATGATGACAATGGACACTGAGCAGATAGATAATCTCATCCTAAGATTTGCAAAAATGAAAAAGAAACCAGACCTTAAACTATTGCCAAGAACCTCCCAACATAAAGGTTACTGTAACTTTAATCGGATAGGATTACATGTTCTCTAATTATCTTTGAGATAATGATTACTATAAAAAAGGACAGTTCTACCTTAGTAGTACCACGTTGCGCAAAGAAGATATGAACCAAACTCTTGCAAGTATCCGACTTTAGAAGAACTTGGAATTCATCATATTCCTGCAAATTATAATAGAAGAGGTTCACATTAACAGGTGAAGTAACTTGTAACAATAGAAAATTTAGTCATCAGACCAAATAAAAACCTTCTTTAGTCCGGCACGTGGGCCAGAGACTATGCCTTCTTCAATAACATCAATGCAAACTTGAGGATGTTGCAAATTTGGGGCTTGTCTGTGAGCTTGAGCTCTAGCGAAGTTTAGTATTTCGCGTGCCTCTCCAAGAGGCTCTAACTTATCTGTTCTATAAAGACTTGCCACCCATGGTTTTCTACGCTCCAATACATCCAATGCCCATCGACGAGCAGTATCTACTAATTGATCTCCTGATACAATTGCATCCACAAGCCCCAAACTAAGAGCTTCCTCTCCCCGAACTGGCTTTGATGTCTAGAGAGAGAGGGAGGAAGAGATCAATTGCATTGACAAGAACTGAGAAGTACCAGAAAGACTTCTATACAAAAATATTTACTTGCTCTCTCCCATGAAAATTGCAACGTTTGACCAATCAATGTTCTATACTTTTTAGGAAAGTTTCTTTTAGATGTCTGAAATTCCCTTCCATGGTGATAGAATCTTATCAACCCAAATCAATGTCATCAAGCTTTCCTCATGATCAGGTGCAAATAAATATATTGCAACTTGAAAACTTCCTAAAACTAGAAATGTCAAGGGTTTTCAGGAGACGACCCAAAATTCGAAAGGTTGCAGTTTTCATGGATGCTGAGAGTAACGCAAGTGGAACCTGGTGGCTTGCAAATAATAACAGCATACCAACATCATTTCAAGGGCCTTTGGGAGACCAACAAGTCGTGGAAGCCGTTGAGTTCCTGATATAAGTCAAAATCAAAGTGATAGATCGCTTGTCATTGTTTTGTTTTAAGATTGTATTGAGCATATTATATCATCTTTGATATTTATTTCAAATACTGTAAACAATCCTTTTTCACTAACAACCACTTTTGTCATCATAACCAGAAGGCCATAGAGAACAACAAAAACTGGAATTTTGCCCACAGCTATGCAATGGAAATCCTCTATTAATGGATTAGGTTTAGTATCTCAAACTTTATCCTCAGAAGTTCAAAGGATTTATGAACTGAATAGCAGTCAAAATTCTTCACCACAAGCAAGGAGAAAGTAAATATCAATGAAACTGTTAAGACAATGTTCTTGAAATTATGGATTGTCCTTCATTAGTCTAATATCTACAATACCCCTCACTAATGACAAAATATAAGAAGCAAGCAAGCCAAAATCAATGCTGATAATTATTAATAGAGAAAGTGATCATCTTGGGTGGAAACTTCACCAAAAAAAAGTTGCTTTAATTTTGGGACGGGGGAGTATTAAGTAGGTGAGTACAACTATAAGCTCCAATTTCAATTCGAATGCACTAGCATTGTCAGCCATCACAAAAATGATATTACATCAGAAGGATAATACACGGGGCATACCTCCGAATCCAGGAATAATACCGAGCTGCAATTCAGGCAAGCCTAACTGAGCAGTAGAAGTAGCTATTCTAGCATGGCAAGCCTGAAAAAAAATCAGGAAGACTTACACTAATTTTTTTTTAAATGTTAAATTAGCCAGAAGTAGCACATACCATTGCAACCTCCAATCCTCCACCTAATGCAAGCCCATCTATAGCAGCAATAGACGGTTTTCTTGCAGCTGAAACCAAGAACACCAACATCTTATTTGAAAATTATGATAATGATGAGTTAGCAACTAAAACTGGCAAAACTAAAAATGGAACAGTCAAGAGGCCTGGATGACAGGTAATAGAGTAAATTAAAATTCAAATAAAAAAACCTCACCTTCCACGGTGTCAGACAGAATCTCAATTGATACATAACCAGGTTTTGATGCCGGTCCTGTTGACATTGCTGTAAACGAGAAGTCAACATGGAAAAATCAATAAATTATGGCAAAAACTAAAGTTAATAGGCACTGTATATAATATGCATACCTTTGCCGTCATGCATTCCACCAAAAGCATTGATGTCAAAACCACCTGAAAATTTGCCTTTTGCACCTGCTCCGACCGTGTAAAGTATTAAGTTTTTCAATAAGAACTAATGCTTAAAAAGAATGAATTGACCATAAAATCTAGGAAAATTACCTGTAACAACGATTGCCTTCACGTCGTCCCTTTGTAAGGCTTGATCGAAACTTTCTTTTAAGCTATTTAGCACTGAAGATAAAGAGGCAGGAGAACTTCAATATGATTAGCAAATACAGAGATACAGAAGTGAAGAAGATATAGAAATCCACACAGCCTAAATTTCCCTCTACTGTCAAACAGATTATGTGCCTTGCTTTACATAATTATAAACTATAGCAGATAATGCTTCCCTCAACAGGTAAAATTTAAGTCAAACAAGTGCAAATATCAAATATTTTATTTTGATGTCTGCAATGCCGATATGGTGCATAAACTCTACTTAACATCCAATTTTGTCGCAATTGGCTTCTCAGAAAAACATACGGGGAGGTTTCTTGGAACCACATTGAAGGTTTTGGTGAACGTATTACATATGTTGCAATGGAAGCAACTGGTTGAGCTTCTCTCAATAAATGGCACTATTTGACAATCCACCAACAGCATTACTGATAAAGAGTTCCATTACCCCCACACTACAACCTCTATATACCTAATAATTTAACCATTAGACTTACAAAAGCAAATAGTGCAAGTTACATTCACCAGTACCCTCTTTACAGCCAGGTCGCATAGATGGTTAAGGGAGGAAGGAATTATCCATGAGAATTGTCAATTGATAATGTTAGTATGGTCTGGTGTAAATATAGATTTGGGAGTGGTGGACTATCAGCTATCATGGGGAAACCTCTCTACTTTTTTGTCTCAACTCACAAGATTGATACAAGTTCCCAAACATTTCTATAAGCATTTTCTTTTTGCCACCATTATGTAGTTCAATATAATTAACGATTTTCCTCAAAATTAAGAAGCTCGTATCATCAGATCACCAGGAGTGGTGTATTTATCTCTCTCGAAGCACTTAATTTGTGTCTAAAAACCAAAAAATCATAAGGGAGAAAATAATTTGAAGAAGGCGTGCGTAATTTTTCTTGGTGGAACATGCTTTTGAAAAGTTGATTAGTTTTCTCGAATTATCATATGCCAATATGCCTTCCACTTAATCCAATGAAGTGCAAGCAAAATTGCGATCTAGAAGCATGACCATAACTTGCCACATGTTGAAACAAGTATTAAAGAATTCCGATGATTGTGCCCTAAATAAACCCCAATAACATCAAAAAGTAACACAGAAATACTGAGATGATTATTTACATCGAGATAAGTACTTTCCAATGCAAAATTAACATGGTTCTGTTGCAAATCAATCGCCATCTATATTATTTATAAATAAATAAAAAGAGTTGCCGATTTCAAACTGATTTTCTCTGAGATGAAAGTGCAAGCCTGTTTGCAACGGAGCGAGATATAATGAATTAACTGAAAATACTGCTCATACGTAACATAACATAAGAGTGATACAGTCACTTGTAGATGAAACAAGCAATAGTGAGATGAGGGATGATGATATGTGAAAGTTGCGAGAGAGAGAAGTTGAAGAAAGAAGAGGTAAGATAGTGATTACCATCAATAGAGAGTGAATTAACAGGTGGATTGAGGATGGTGATGATAGCCACTCCATCGGAGCCAACTGAGATGGTCGTCGTTCCTCCCATGGTGTGCTGAAATTTGTTGATGAATGCAAGAAGGGAGAATTTAGTATTTAGAGGGGGGTTTTATTATTATTATTATTATTATTATTATTAGAATCGGTGGTTGGAATGGGCGATCTACGACGGCGTCGGTGGTTGTCAGCCTACGCGCCCATATGTCTGTGTGCACCAACAAATGAAATATTTATCACTATGTATGTAGACCGACCGTAGTGTAGTAGTCCTTTTTATAGTTCAAATTATGTTATATTATAATTAGTTTAAATTAAGCATTAGAAAAATAAAATTAGGATTTTAATGTAGAGTTGATATATATATATATAAGGAGGAATTAGTAGATAAATAAGATACTCAATTAGGCCTTCACTTTTTGTTTTATATTTAATAGACGAGACATGTAAATGTTTCTAGCTTCTTGAATATAGTATTAAAAAAAATTGGTTAAATAATTTATATAAGCATTATTTATGTAATCTTCGACCATTTTGATTAATGCCTTCAAAATCTGACCATAATATGAAAGGTGTAATAAGATATGTTGTCAATATTTATGTTTGGTTTGCAAAAAAGGTAAAAATAATAAATCCTTTTTATATATATTTCTTTTAAAGTGCTAGTTTGATTAAGAGGTTTATTTAAAAAAAATCGTTTCTACTTTAAACAAATTCTTAACGCTATTTGGAGTTGATTGCATGTATTGGTCTTGATCGATGGAAAATAACTAACATCGCAGATAAGGAGTTGAATATAGAAACAACAAATTTTTATCTTGTAATTCTTAAACTTAGACTTTATCATAAACAATTTTTCTGGTGACAAATTTACCCATAAAAGAGATGTTAAAAGAACAAAAAAAATATTATTTATTTCAAATATGAAATAAACTAAGATAGCATTTATCTTATAAGTTATAATTTATACAGCATTACATAAAATATAAATATGCGTGTGAATGTATTAATTGCAGTATAAATAACATATTTGTTTATTTTATAGAGAGTGAAGTTGAGTTTGAGAGCGTATGGTTTTGTTTTTTATTATTATTGAGGAAGAGTATATCGTAATCCATCCTCGATATTTTCAATGAACCTTCCCTGCCATTACATTAACCACCCATTCACTCCTGTTTCTTAACTTTTCACAACTACCGATGTTATCTTTATCTATATACTATATTATAAATTATTTAACAAAAAATCATTTTTTATACATAAATTATTATTTATTAAAACATATTATTAAAACTTTATTTTTAAATTCATATAACTAACTACAGATAAATATAATCAAATATAARATAAATATTTTATTTTAAATATAAAAAATTTAAAATATAATTAAGATAACCATTGAATTCTAACAGACTCATTATCTTTAAAATAGTTATATTGTTAAGTCAAAAATAAATTACTTTGTTATTAGACTTAAATTAAATTATAATAAAAAAATTGAATTAAAAATATTGTACAAAAAATAGAGCTTTTAAATTGTTAATTTAACATTAATATCGATGTACTTTTTAAAAAAATTATTATATCTTCAAATTTATTTTTCAAAAGTAAAAAATTGTCTTTCTCAAAACTACATAAACTGTATTATATCAACATAAAAAAGATAAAATAAAATATTAAAATAAAGATGTACCTCGTTGCATTGCGCGAATACCCTTCTAATATTAATTTTAATATTAAAGTTTTCAGAATAAATAGCTATAAATTGATTTGCTAAATTATAATATAATTTTTTTATTTAAAGATTTATTTAAGTGTTTTTTTCATTAATATATAATTATTAAGTGGTTAAAATAATTAAAAAAAAATTATATAATATAATCCAAAATAAAAAATTATTGTTTGATAAATGACTATCTTAAACAATAAAAAACTACTATCTTAATTCTTTGTTAACATGTGAAACTATAACATGAAAAATAGGATGCTATTATAAGTTGCTAATAAATTAACGTATCACCTTACAAATATAAATATTATAATTACCATATATAATATTATAAATATAAATTGCAACCTAAACCATGTCTATCTCAAGATTTAGAACCAACTAGAAAATGTCAATACATTAGGTTTATGATTCTTTTTTTGCACCATCGAGACCCAACCTCGTTCCAAGCAAGCAACAACATGTCAATGTCAATCCCTTGTTACGAGTTTGGAATTAAAAGGCCTGAAACAATAGAGATAGGACTTGAACTAGCATACCATTTTAAATAGGACTTCCTTCAGTTTTATCGAACACAAATCAAAAGAATATTCAACGAGAGAATGCTAACTTTTCAAACTACAGCAGGTCTAGTTGATCAAGGATGAAAAAGTCGAAATGAAACAAAAGAATCTGACACCCCCATCATTTCCAAATCCTTTCCCAACCTCCCTATGGAAACTTGCAACCCACAAGATAATGATCCAAAGTTTTATGCATTTCATTACAAGAGAATCAAGTCCAGATTGATCCCACATTTTAAATTGATTCCGTCGTTTTAATTAAGCAAGGAAAAACACCCGACTATACTTTATCCAATACCTACTTCTTTACGATTTTAGGCTCATTGGTCAGAAAAAATTGATTATTGGGATACAATTGATCTAACTAGCTGTGAATGTAACATATGCCTGAAGTTTTATGTTGAGATTAATTCGTCGGTAGCAACAAGATATGAAGTCTTTTCAGATCCACTGAGTGCACTCATACAAATTCAATGATCAAAATCTAATTCATGTCTAGTTTTGTAACTCCTTTAATGAAAACATTTTATCCTATAAATCTTATTTCATCTAATAATAAAATCACTCATAAAAAATTTATGAAATAAACCTGTTTGCATTTTATTTCCAAAAATAACAGAGAAAAATAAGAGAGGCATATTTTCGTGTTTTCCCGCGCTTTGACGATCCACAAAACCCACAAAGTTGGTCTGCTATCTATCAAACTCCGGTTGTCATCATGACCACCGCTAACCACCGTAACACCCAGCCGTCCCTTACACCGGACGACATAATCCGCTTAGCTCAATACCACACCACTGCTCCCCTCCACCCTTTCCTCCTCTCTCCAACTTCTCACGACACCCTTGTCTCCCACCTCCACACACTCCCTCCCTCCGCCGTCTCCGAATACACCTCATCTCTCCTCTCTCTCCTCTCGCCATCTCCTTCTGTATCTACATCTACATCTACATCTACCCTACTCACATCTCTCCTTAATTCATACATCAATCTCTTCAATTCCAACAAAATACCCCACGATCGCCATTCTCTTAAAACCTTACAACTCTTCACTGCTCATCTCGATAACATCCCCATCACCCAACTACAATCAATATCAGATTCAATCGTTTCTCGCCTTTCGCAAATCAACACCGATCCAGATGAATCCCAGCTTCTTGACTTGCTTCCCAAGTGTTTCAACATCATATTCAACTCTACTGAGATTGATAAACCTCGGGATTCAGTGAATGCGCTGTTTGATCGTATCCTAGATTGTAATTGGTCAAGGGTTTTGTTGGTGAAACTGGTTTCCATAAGTCGCGACTTCCAATTTGTTGACAAGGGACGTGGGAGACAGTTTGCAGAGAAGGTGTTTGATAACATGCATTGTGTAGAACTGCAGGATCTGCCTTCATTAGTTTATCAGCTATTGGTTTTGGCTTCAAAAGGGTTTAACAAGAGGGAAATAATAAAAGGCATTGTTTTCTTCTTTGGAACTAAAATGCATATGAAGAAGACGAGCTATAATATCGTTAGGGAAGTTGAAGGGACTGCATTGTTGTATGTCAATTTCGCCGTAAAGCAAGACCCTTCGTTGGGACAGGAAGTTATGGGGCTTGTGAGGTCAGATCTTCAAGTGATAGATCATTTTGTTGTCGGGCTATTGCTGTCAATAGCAAGAATTAGGAGGTACCGAGAGAGCTCAATGGGAACACTCAAAACAGCTCTGAGCACTGCTTACAAGGATTACAAGTTTTCCAGGTACATGCCTCGTTGTAGGATATGATTCTCTACTTCTCCACATTGTAAATGATACCCCTAGATGAATTTGCCGTTATCAGCTCATACTGTGAAATGCATTCATTGTTTCATGTTGCTTGAAATAATTACTTTCATATACTTTATTCTGAGTAGAATCATTATCAATGGCATGAATTACATTTCATAAAGGCTGATCTTTGTGTTAAAAATCAATGCCCCAGGTTACATATCATAAAGACCCAATGTGTTAGAACTGTGATCAATGCCCTGGGTTACACATCATAAGGATCTATTTCATGGTAGTAGCATCATCAATAGCTTGAGTTGAACTGTGTTTGTATTGGCATGAGTCTCATGTCATAATGATTGATTTTTGTGTTAGTTTTGTCACGAATGGCCCAGATTACATGTAAGAGATTCATGTCTAATCGCTAAGATAACTATGCATATTCTTATCAGTTGAGATTCTTGTTTTTACCAGTGCTTTGGTCCATGGATTTTCATTCTTGTGCAGGCATTGCAAATGGTTACCTGATGGCTTAAAGGAGGAGTATCTACAGAATGCCATATTGACAGAGAAAGCAGTGCTAAGAGCTGTATTTTTCTCCTTTAGCAATTTTTGTTTATTTAATTAATCTACTATAATATTCTACTCATGAAGCAACCAACATGCATGGCACATCAAGTCTAATACTCTGTTGTGTTTTGGTTACTGATTTTTAGGTTAATGAGAGCAATTATGGAAGAGAGCATATTGTTCCTAGCATAGTGCAGCTGGGCTTTGTGTTGCTAGAATCAGTGGAGGAGATAAACCTAAAAGAACTTGAAAACACTGGTCTTGTGGGTTCTCAAGAGCTGGGGATTCAGATGCTACAAAGTTTATTTGAAGTTCATGATATGGCAAGGAATGAGGTCAGTAACACTATGAGTCCTCTGACTGAAATGCTGAAGGTTTAAACTGCTGCAGCTTTTGGTACAAGTACAGCTCATTTAAATTGCTGTAGCTTGACCTGTGAATGGCCTTAGAAAAATGGTCATTTGCACGTTAGCCAGAGGTGTGGCTGTAAGTGCTTGAAAACCTAACTTTAAGTTCCACATAATCTTGATGAAGGTTTCTTCTTTGCAGATAATCGAGCAATGTAAATTCCGAATCCTTTCTCTTAAGCCTGAGCAAAGTTTAGTTATCATAAGGTATCCAAAAGCCTCTATTTATGCAACCTTGGTTACAATTGATCTTGGTATGCTTATCATTACCTTCTTTTCTTGATAGATTACTTGGTAGCCTAGTGCAGAACTATTCCTATCCGATGTTAGAATATGTTTCACATCTGAAGGAATTGTTAGATTATTTTGGTTTCATGCACAACAAGGTTGCTTCCCACCTAATTAATGTTCTATTACCACTCATCAAGTTCAGTCATAACCTTCAGGTTTGCATTCTTTCCATCATTTATTCAATCAAGTAAAAGCATGTGCATGACATTTATTATCCCAGGGACCGTGTTAGATCACAGGATAACAATTTAGATTAAATTAAAATCAGGCGGATTTATACAACCCCTGTATGCTTTACTCTTTAAGAATATCTACGCCTCTATTTCTCTAAACACTGCAGGATTACATCATCTTGGTGGTGCGCAAAGCTATGTTTAGACGAGATGATCACATTCGCCTAGCTGCAGCAGGAGCCATTATCAATGTAATTTTAGCAGAAAAACGATCGAAACAAAATAGGCCATGTCCTTATCAGGAATCCTCCAGCCAAGCTAGTAGTAGTCAAGTACCTGCAATACCACATGGAATGGGCAGTGATCTTTTCAAAGAACTCAGTGGTCTATTACAACGATGTCTCTACCAGCAGGTTGTTTCATCTGTACTCAACTCCCTCCTGCAGGGCACAAGACAACACAAATTACATGTGTGATTTGAGATTCTTTTAGTTGTATGTAGGCCAAAGTGAAAGAGAGAATTTACTGGGGGCTTCTAAAGCTGGTGCTGGTTGATCCATTAACTGCAGGGGAAGTTTTTGATTTTCTCTTGCCTCACTTTCTACAGTACTACAAAGAAGCAAGTACTCCTGTATAATTTATTAGCAGTTCAAAATTTTGTAGCAATGTTTCATTTCATGATTGGTTTTATGCATTTTGTTTCAGGATGGTCAACTTGGTATAATCCAGAGTATTAAGATGGAGAATGGCAAAGTTTGTATAGTAGAACCACTAGATGATCTTCTATCTTGTGTCTCATGGATTCTTATCCTTCAGCCACAGGGAAAATCTGACATTCGCTCAGATTCATGGGATTCTTTTGGTTTCTCACTTACACAAGACACTGAGGTAATCAAATTTGTTACAAATGAAGCGAAAAATTGTTTCTGCGACATTATTTAGTTACATGTGTGTTAACAATAAATTGCAGCAGGCAGGAGGAACATTTTCTGGTGAGTTGTTTTCCAGTGCTTTATTGACAATTCGCAAGCTTCTAAGAAATGAAAATTTGGAAGGTGAGTGAGTTGGAACCCTTGGAAATTTGTTTCTTCTAGCTTTGCAATTTAAATCACCATTATAGCTTGTAGTAATCATATACACATCTTACTACCTGTTCTTTTGTTTGGATGTTTTTTTCCGGGAAGGGTGTTCCAGACTTCCAGGCTATGTCAGGACTAATCCTGGCAAACTGTGACTGCAAGAAATCAGCCCACGAAAACTCCGTGGCGATGATTGTTGTGTACGCCTAGAATCGAACCCTAGGCAGATGGGATATTCCACCACATCCCACAGGACCTCAATCACTATGCCACAACCCTTGTGCGAGTCTCATCAACATCAACTAAGAAGGGCCTACAATTGGTCTTCCATATTATATAAATCTCACATTATAAAGTAATAATTATTAAATGGCCAGAACGAAAAGGAACTTAGTAAGAAGTTTTGTTCTTGATAAGGTGAACTTAGAACCTGAGAAAGACCCAACTACTCAACAGGAAAACTATTATCTGCCCACAGCCCCACATAATGTATGTATTCAAACGAAAATTGTTTGGATGTTTGTTTGAATACATACGTTATGTGGGGCTGTGGGCAGATAATGGTTTTCCTGTTGCACATTTGGGTCTTTCTCAGGTTCTAGTTCACCAAGAAAAGAACTTACCAAGTTCTTATTTGTTCTGGCCATTTAATAATTATTTAGAACCTGAGAAAGACCCAACCACTCAACAGGAAAACCATTATCTGCCCGCAGCCCCAGATAATGTATGTATTCAAACAAAAACTGTTCGGATGTTTGTTTGAATACATACATTATGTGGGGCTGCGGGCAGATAATGGTTTTCCTGTTGCACATTTGGGTCTTTCTCAGGTTCTAGTTCACTAAGAAAAGAACTTCTTACCAAGTTCTTATTTGTTCTGGCCATTTAATAATTATTTAGAACCTGAGAAAGACCCAACCACTCAACAGGAAAACCATTATCTGCCCGCAACCCCACATAATGTATGTATTCAAACAAAAACTGTTCGGATGTTTGTTTGAATACCTACATTATGTGGGGCTGTGGGCAATTAATGGTTTTCCTGTTGCGCAGTTGGGTCTTTTCAGGTTCTAGTTCACCAAGAACGAACTTACTACCAAGTTCCTATTTGTTCTGGCCATTTAATAATTATTACTTTATGGGTGAGATTGTAAGAGTTTTTATAATATGGAAGATTAATCGTAGGCCCTTCTTAGTTGATGTAGATGAGACTCGCAAAATGAATAATGAAGGGAAGTGATATGATGTAAACAAGTGGAACCTAATTACTTCAATGCATGTCAATCAGGCTTACTTGGTCAGATGAAGGATCCGGCCTCTACACCCCAACAAGGAGAGAGATACAAATACAGTGCTCAGATTCTATCAGGTGTTATTGAGGTGATATTGAATACCCTTGCTATTGAATTGGAGAAGGCAACTAATGATAAAAAGATTGATTTGGAGAAAGAATTCGTTGATCTTGTTGATCTGTACGGGTCCTTAGAGAAGTATACTTCTACGTCCGCACAAAGTACACAAAGTAATGGTACTAGAAAAGGGATAGCTCGGTCTTCTGCTCTCTGTCTAACATATAAAAATGAGTCGGACAACATGAAGTCTTTTAAAGAAAGAGCTTCTTTTTTGGCAACTCCTAGCATTCATCAGTTGTTTCAAACATCGTTTGAACTGTACAAGAATGATGCTGTGAAGAGTGTCACAACTTCCCAGGTGCATAGTCAGGCAACTAGCAATTCACCAAACCAACATTCTAGACTCTTCTATTTCATTTTAAATGTCACCCTTTGCCAGACAAAATCTTTTTCTTATGTGGCAAAAGACGATCCACTGAAGGCTTTGATCCATGGGGATATTAAGGTGCTAGGACCACCCTTGTTGAAATTGATCTGGTTGCTCATGTGGCCAGATCAAAAGAAAAAGGACGCCAATGGGAAAAAGGACAATGAAGATAGAAAGGGTCTTATTTTCTTAGCTCTTATGTGCTTGAAGGAACTGCTAAAGGTCAGTTCACAAAATCTAGACGAGATGCGAGAAATTGAAGACATGCTGGCGCATGCCGTAGGTGAGGATGCATCAAGAGATGTTCTTGAAGCTGAAGATGATGACAATGAACAAGTGAATGGGATCAACAATCAAAGGGAAGAACTCTTCATCACAAAAATTGTGAAACCATTGTTCTCTGAGCTTCTTCATGCAAAGTTTTATCATGAAGTTGAGGTAAAATCTTAATCATCTAGCTTGTTTATTTGTGTACCTTTACCGATTCTACTTGTAGATATGATATTGACTTAAGTACTACTATGTTATCAGATCTTGTGTGATATCACCAATATGATTGGGAGCATGTCTAGTGTAAGGAGTAACCTTCTCGGTGCCTGGGCAATATATATTTGTAAAACTAGTGATGTAGCAAACCCAAAGATTGCAAAAAGTGTAGTCACTTTAGCACTATCATGTACTCGGGCTCCAAATGATATGATTCTTGCTTGTGACATGGCACTGGAGCTAGTAAAAACAATGGGATCAGAAAGGCAGACTCTGTTGGAGAAGTCCAAAATTTATGCTATAATAAACCGTTCAACAGAAACTGCTATAGCATCTGTGCTTTTGCAGTTAGCTGAATCAGTAATTATTGACATGGACCGACTCAGTATGAAGCTGAAGGCATACTTGACTGGCGCTTATAAAGTGATATCACTTGATCATGATGGGAAACAGAACCCATATTTCACATTGGAAGATACTCTGTACCAGAGGGCTGAAGCTGTGGTGGAATTACTTTCTTCTTTTGTGGTGATGAACCTCAAGGGTAACTTTCCGACATATTTTAATTGCTGCTCTTTCTGGAATTCGTTAGACAAGACGACTTTTAATTCATTTGAGAAAATTACAAGGATTTCCTAAATTTGCAGATCCTCAAGCCGAGCATCTACTGAGATCTGCTGCTAAATTCTACAAGAACTTAGCTAGGCTCTCAAAATTCCATATTGCACCTAAAGGTTGCAAGCAAATCTTACCCAGCCTCAAGTGCCAGAGGCTTGTGGAAGTGACTTGCAAGCAGCTAACAGAACCTTTGTACAAGTTTGTGGAAATGATGCAACAGGTTTGAACCTAGTATTCTTGATTTGCATCCATAAATTCTGCTTAATTGAACTTATGATTAACATATGTCAAATCTCAGAGATTATGTCTTGATGGTGTGATCACTAGTTCATGCAAAAACATATACTCCCTTCTTCCCGAAAATGAAAGCGGCATTCTCAAAATTGAACAAGTTTACAGTTCAGATTTATATTTTTACCCATTAACAATGATTACAAAATATTAGCAACATTACTTTTGGAACATGAATTTTTTATTTGTCTTTTTGCAAGCGGATTTTAGATATTTGGTTACTTAATAGTCAAATACTCTTCTTAAACTATATGTCAAAATAGGATATTTGAAGGCTATCTTGTTAAACAATAACACTTCTCTCACATAAAAGTTAGAAAGATTGTTTTACAAAGTTTACTCGACTCTTAACCAAATATGTGTATACTTTGATAATGATAGGTAAAACTTCTTTTGGCAGAGAGAATGCTCAATATAGTAGTAATTTGCTTGATTTTGTAACATTTGTTCTATTTGGTCAAAATACAAGTCATAACCACCGGGCTGCATTTGCAGAAACAACAAGACAGCAGAGCAAGTAAAGGAAGCATAAACAAGATCAAAAGGGAGAATAGATGCATCCCGGATTTGATATTTCAGATAGAAGACTACGAGAAGTATCTCATTCTACTTAGCAAAGCTAGCAAAATGAACTTGTTAAGGCATGCAAAGCGTAGCACTGCCAGAGATTTTAGAATACTTGACCCACAAGAGCAAGAAGATGGGGCTAACCAGGAAGCTCAACCAGATGAGGGTGCAGCTCAAGATGATTTGGTCCAAGACTCTGGAGATGCATCAGAAAAGGCATTATCACCTGAAACAGGAAGCACACTGGCTGCAGCAGAGGATTCTGATGAGAATATGATTCCCAGTGCGAAGAGAAAAAAACTGGGTAGAATTGTTCATGACTCGGATGATGAAGCATAAAGAGTCGTGTGATGAAGATTATTTGTATAGTAAACTATTTTAAGTTTCTTAATCCGAGCTGTGACAGGACAGTCGATAACATAAAGTACACCTGGCAACTAACCATGTATTATGATTGGCGGCTGCAGCCTTTTGTTAGGGTTAAGCAAGGTAACCTCAGCTGACTTAGAAAAATAGAGTTCTAGTATTATTGACTCTTACTTCTTTTTCCTTTGGCAACTACTGAGAGGATGTGTATCCTATCAGCAACACCATCAACTTCAACTCGTTTGTCTGATTACCAACTAAGCTCCAATTGGCATTGCTTCAATAAGACTATTCAAGATTCACTTGGGCAACTAATTGTGTCTAATAATCTAAACATTGGCTTCAACTTAGAAAGGAAGACCCCCACAACCCTCTCAAAAACAACTAGTTTGCATAGTCCATAGAAAAATAATTCACAACGTTTTCAAGTGCAAAAATAGCAGTTGTAGCAGATCTTGGATGGATTGTTGGTGTGGAACTTTGCATTTGTTTCGTATTCGATATCATACTTAACCTTTTTGTCTTTTTTGTTCCAACCACAACACAACACAAATTCATAATCCTGATCTGATACTACTGGGAATAATATTCAGTTTCTATAACCTGCTACTTGTGATGACTCAAAATATAACAAATTCAACAAAAATCATCATACCTCAAAAGGGTTAAAGTTATTCTTATTGAAATTATTTTATCTACACCATCACCAAAAATGTGTTGATCAGTGGATACATGGACAGATAGGATAGATCATGAAAACTACTTACTCTATGATTTATGAGATTCCCAAATGTTGCTAGAATTTACCCTTTTTTCATTATCTTTATTTAATTGTCAACACTGGCATCATCATCCTGCAGATCCGATGCCTGAACACGATTACTATGAGCAGCTGCTGCTGCTGCTGCCGGTGTCACTGATCTATTTGTAGCCGTATCAACAAAAGTCGCCGAAGACATCTCCATTTGGCATATCCTAACCGCCCCAAACAACCTCTCCGGTAAATCCTCTTCTTCTTGTGCTTCTACCAGAAACCCCATATCAATTGTCACCGCCGTCACGCACCCCAACGCCAAATGCAGAATCGCAGTGGCGATCTTCGAGCTACCTATGTCCACGTCAATCTCTAGATAATTCGGACCGCTGTGGTAGTGACAATTCAGTGCTTTCCCAAGCAGGCAAGCCGAGTAGTTGCCCACGGTAGCTTTCACGATCCACGGCCCTTTGACGATCCGGTTCACGATCTTGAACCGCTGGTTGCGGAAAGAGTCGTCGCCGTGGATGAAACGGTAGAGAAGTGAACCGGGGGGAATCGGGTCGTCGGTTGCGAAGTAGAATACAGCGCTGTGATGATCCCTACCTGGAACCTGTAAGTTCACAGCCAGTACGAAATTCTTTTTTGCACTGTGTTGCTTCCTGAGCGCGTTCATGACACGATTGTCGGCGCGTGATAGAACGTGGTCGAGTTTTGATGTGGAGCGGAGCCAATCTACACCGGCGGGATGAAGAAGCCATGGACCGGAGGGGCACTTATGCTTCTTGGTAAAGTAGTTACGGGAACGGAGAGAGAAGAGAGCACCAGGAGGTGAGGCCCAACCGTTGGATCCGGTGTCTAGGTTTACAAGCTTGAGAGATCCACCGTTGATTGCTTCTTGCCGCCAGTCTCCGTCGTCTTCTTCCTTATGGTTCGTGGGACACATATTCTCTGTGCGGCCGCCGGTGGGAGTGGCAATAAACCAGACGGACGCCGTGTGAGCCCCTTTTCAACTCGCCGGCTGATATTTTGTTAATTTGTTGAGGGTTGTTTGCACCGTGTGAATAGATAGATATATACGCTACACTTCAGATTTTATTATAAATTTAAAGTTTTGATAAAAATGTAAAAATATTATATTAATATAAAATATTTTAATAATATAACAAAAGGGCTGTTGGTTTCATTTGCTCTAAAGGAATGAAAATGTGATTAATAATTAAAATATGATAAAATGAGAATCATTATTTTTATTAGATTATGTTATATTATTAGGAATTTCTTAAAATTAACTAATAAAAAAAAACTTGATAACTACTCAATCCATCGCATTATATAACCTTTCCAATGCACGTCTTCATACGAGAAGGAGTGAGAGCCATAATTAAAAGAAAAAGTTTCTATTCCTCAAAATTAAGGAGGAAATATTTTTAATCAAATTTATTATAATGACTGCTTTATTTTTGAAACCAAAAATCATTTTTTATTCTTTAATTGAACCAAACATAATCAATGATTATTATTTTTATTTTTAAGAATCAATTAAAAATTATGTTATTTTAATAATAATAACATTAATTATATAACAAGATAATAATCAAATATTTGACTGGAAGTCTTTGATACCAAATGCATGGATTGAAGCGCCTATATTTTTTCCTTCCATCTATGCGATTGCAAGACATGCTTTTAGAAAGGAAAAAAATCTCTAAGAAATTATAACTTTTGTAATAGATTAGTGATATGTAATTCTTGTTTCATAGATGTCGTGTCGTTGAGATTTAAGAGTTTTATTTAAACGTTTTATTTGATGGGTTGGGTTTCGATGAGAAATATAGTTAAAGTGAGAAACGTCAGAATATGTCTCTACCCTTATATGCATATATAGGATGAGATGTACAGAATGAATCCCCATATCAAACACTTTCATGAATGGGTTTGAGATTAAGGATGATCAAAGGTTCAGATGTTTTCTTATGTTTTTTTTTTACCTTAACTCTCTTGCTCACGCGATCCTTCACCTAATTTGATAATATAGATAGTTTGTTTTAGTTCAATAGATATTCATTATTATTTATTGTATTGTATGCCTTTTCAATTAATGATGTTAAGTTATGTTCAACTAAACTGAGATATTTAATATATTACTAAACATGTAACACTATAATATATATATATATATATATATATATATATATGGATGTTCAAACGAGAATATCCATTTTTGTGAAAACGCGAAAACATTCCTATCACATGTGATAATATACGTGAGGGAATCTGTTGGCATGCAACGAGGTCACGCTAAAGGTCGCCTCTGTCTTTGATTTGGTATCACATGTGATTGATTATAGTATCACATGAAGAACACATGTATTACATGTGATAATACGTGAGAGGGTCCAGTAGTGTATGGGCGACTTGGCCCGCAACCTAAGTCGTGCCAAAGGTTATCAGATGCTTTGATTTAGTATTACATGTGTATTATATGTGATCGAATATAGTATCACATATGATTGATTATATTGAAAGATATTTTCGCATTTTTGTAAAATGAATGTGTTTTCGTTTGAACCTTATATGTGTGTGTGTGTGTCATCTACATTATATAATATTTACTTAGTGTGCTAGACATTAAACATACATCAGTTGGAGTTGGAATTAGTAGTAGAGTCAATGTCATTGAACGTTCAAGCATTCTTTTAAATTGCACAAAACATTAAGCCTGACATTATGATGTTAAATGCTCATTTGGGTAAAAAGGATTTTACGTGAAAAAATGAGTGTAGTGTTTCCACCTTTTATAAGGAAGTGTTGGCGAAACATCCTACCTTGGCCGACCGGAGCCCATACAACCCGCAAGAGGTCTTTGACGACTTCTTGAACCACCATAGGGACCAACTCGATCACAAGAGTTGCACGTAGAAAAAAAAGGACCACTTGGAGCTCCGTTTTGTGGATCTATTGAGGCAAAGGCTCTGGTTTCTTAGTAATACAATCTTAAATACATTATAGTTTTACACAAATTGGCTAACATTTAAAATAAATAAAAATTAAAAGATCTCGACACTCTTACTAAAGAAAATTAACGCAAAATATATTATTATTTTATGCAATCAACTTCAAAAGCATCGGGGTAGGTGGTTGCTCTTATTATCAATTTCTTACCAGAGAATTAACAAACATGTTTTTTTCTATGATATATATATATATATATATATATATATTAATCAACTGATTCACAAATAAACTAATTAACGAGTTCTTATATGAACATATTGTGCATATGTGAATCATAAAAGTTCACATATAAACTTATTTGCCGCCTATTTGTAAAAGTAACATAACTATTTCTCTATCTTCTGCATATCATGGCAAAATCGTAAATGTTAACCATATGAATGGTCATGATTACTTCTTTTGATGATATATAATTAAAAGTAACATAACTATTCCTTTATGTATATATATATATATATATATATATATATATATATATAAATAAAAAAAAAAAAAAAAATCAACTGTATATTTGTATTTTGATGATATTTTTTTACATTACTTACATTTAGTGGTTTTGATGAACATAAATAATTAATAATCATTTCTTATTGTCGATTAAAAAATGGTGGTATATAAAAAAACACATGTTTATTATTTAATTTAATATATATATATAAAAAAAAACAAAAAGTGCATTCGATAGTCAAACCATGGAGGCCTGACCGACCAAAATAACACATTTTATATGTCAAATGAATTAATTAATAAATTAAAGGCTATTTGAATTGTGATGAAAACAGCTAGCTAAGGGCCAAGGCTACCTCCTCAATTTTGTTTTCGATTACTAATTGCTTTTCATTTTACCTTTTCTTTATCTCTAATTTTAAGTTGTTTCCTTAACATAATTAATAAACAAGCTAATTGTTTTTTTTTTTTATAAAGTTCCAACAAATTTAAATGATTTTTAAGTCATTGGATAACTCTTTATGAACAAATAAATCATTGGATCATCTAAATCGGTTAAATGCATCATTTTAACCGATTTATATTTTGGTCGGTTTTTGTCTTTTTTTATTAACTTCTTCGAAACAAGTCTCCTCTACCTTCTCACCACACATAATGCATTTGTTAATTTGTTCTCTCTAAAATTGAAACCAAAATGAAGCTGAAAAATGTAATTTTTGGAAACCTGAAATCAAATCCATTAAATTGACTTAGGGATGGAAACAAAAAATGAAACCGGTTTTTTTGAAACAAATTTGTAGTCTATGATGCTGATGCTCATATTTTTTTTTATATTTTAAATTAGTTATTGATTTAAATGCTTTTAAGTAGTTTAGTTATTACATGTTTTTGATTGTTCGGTTATAGAATCAGAAAAAGGTTAAAAGTTTTAATAAATAAAATAAAATAAAATGGTAAAAGGAGAGATTTCCTAGTCAACGGACCAGATAAATGGCCGTTAAGGAAAAGGACTGAATTCATGAAAACTACAAACCACAACTCTTCCACCTAATCAATAAAGTTTAAGGACCAAATCCAGAAACAAACCTATACCATAGGGACCAAGTATGTAATTGATTGGTTTTTAGGTGTAAAACCCATTTTGTTCACGAAACACCTCCCCACTCTCTCACCCCCACTCACTATCACTAAGCTGAATTTTGCACACATGACTGAAGAGGGGAAGAGATCTTCGGCCAGTGTTACCTTTCCGGCTAAGCCGCCATTTATGGCCGATGATCGGAAAACCACCGCATCGTCGTTATCTACCTCTACTTCTAGCAGCAGGAAAGTCATCATTAAGAGTGCCGATATGAAGGAAGAAATGCAGAATGAAGCTGTCAATATCGCCATTTCCGTAATTTATCCGTCTTCCTCTTTTTGATTGACCGTTTCTCTTGCGAGGCTTCATGTCCTGACCTCACAACTCACAATTAATTTCTGTTTTACTTCACTCCCTTTGGAATTCTCTTATATATCATCTGAGGTTGGGTTACGTGTGTGCAGGCCTTTGAGAATTGCAGTGTGGAGAAGGATGTCGCGGAACAGATAAAGAAGGAATTCGATAAGAATCACGGTCCTACTTGGCACTGTATCGTCGGCAAAAACTTCGGTAATTTCTTTTTCTATTGGAATTCATGATTCACTTTCTAGATTCGCTCATGGTGATATCGGATTTTGAGTAGGTCTGTACATAGAACACCCGTATTGTATATAATTGATTGCTTTTGATTTATTCTGCTTTCGGTTGTTGATAATCATAGGTGAATATGGGTGATAGTAGTTTGGTTTTGATTTAGCGGCGAAGATCTACTGATGTAGGCTTAAATCAGTGTCTGGCAAATTTTTGATTTCAGTCTACTCTAGGAGTTTATGAATGTGGTACAAAGGGAATGATGCGAGTGATTCTGTATGTGACTATCTGGATTTTATTGCAAGGAAAAAGAATATATGAGAAGAATGAATGGATCGTGGAGAAATTATTTAGGTTTTTCATCTCCACTCAGGCAGTGGTTTAAATCTGTGAGAATGTATATGGATTGAGAATCAATCAAAAAATTATCAACACATTTGGGCCAACTCCTGGCTGTCCTTTTTGTTCATGTAATGATTAGGATTAGATTAAACACAAGAGGGGAAAAGCCCAAATATTTACACCTACTGCTAGAACATGATAATGACAAAACTAGTCCTACTGTCCTAGTTCTTAAACTAAACATAATCATTCAAGTGTACATTTAATCTAACAAAATCAATATTCACATTTGCTGTCATATGCATTGTTGTTTATTTGCTGTTGCTGTCATATGCATTATTGTTTGTTTGCTGTGTTGCCTCTTTGGATGGTGAAGTGCAATGTTGTTATCACATATGCATTAATACATGCCTATGTAATATGTGTAACATCCTTTCTAGTTACATTGTCTTAATATTAGGTAATATGCTATAAATTTATTTTGAGTTACCCCCAAGCAACAAAATATACACAGAAGAATAGGAAGAGACTTTGATTACAAATCTAACATGGCTCTTAACTTACTGACCCAAGATCCATGACAAGCACATGTTCGAGGCCAGAAAACTATACAACTAAGGCGTTTGGTGTCTTGCATTCTTATTGGGCTAATTTACATAAACCTACACATGTATCTGCCAATGCACAGATGTCTACTGGCTGCTATTGTATGAGTGGAAACATCAGAAAGTATCTTGGTCCGCGACACTTGACTTGTTTATGTGCAACTTGTCTGCAGACTCATGGGACTTGTCTATCTACTAGGTAGAGACCAAACAAGGATTCATCCAAAGTAGGGAATTTGCATTATGATGCTATTTCTTGAAAGGAACTTTAAAAGGTAATTGAATGTAGAAATAAAATAACAACATTTTTGTCAAGTTGGTGCTGATATGGATGTGATGCTTCTTAACCGATAACTTACATATTTGGTTGGTGCTTAATTGGACTGTCTGTCAACATGACAACCTGTGGCAGACTGGCAGATTTGGTGATGGGGGTCGGAGTTTTGTGTTCCACCATTGTTAATCATTAAAACTCAAATTTAAGTTTCAACATGCTAATGTAGTCTTTTCGTTTTTTGGGCGACAAAGACCAGTGGCAGCCTAAAACGAATGGTTAAGGGTCGTAAAAGATTACACTAGTAAAGAGGAGAGGAGGATAAATGGGAGGTTTAAAACTTCAAATTATGCTGCCAGCCCATATAAGAAAGAGTAAATTACTCTGCCACCTGGTAAAATACCAAGAAACTTTGATTGAACATGTGAATTTTGTGAAGAAGCTTTATGGTATTATAAGTTGTTCTATCTGAAATTATTGTTGTCTCATGAATAATGGATTTGCACTACCATCATTTGAAGAAAGAGCTACATCTAGAATTCCTGGTCTGACATGAATCATGATACTTTAATACATTTTCATGACCATTTTTGAAGAAATGCATTACAAACTGAAAAGTGTTGGTGGTAATTGGTAAATTAGCAACAAGAATTATATCATATCTAATAAGTAATATATTATCTACATTGAAGAAGAAATTTGCAAAGAACAGTCACATATTTGCTCATAAATGGATTTCGAACTTTTATAGAACATCACATTCCTCTACCTTGAGGGGTTAGCTCAACCGGCAATAAGGTTCTCCCCAATCCCCATAGGTCACTGGTTTGAGTCCCTCCAAGCCCATCGGGGATTGCCCTGGCTGTTCTCCTGGGTCTCATGGGATTAATCGAGGTGAGCCCAAGCTGGCCTGAACACCCACGTCTGTAAAAAAGGTGGTAAGTGGTAACTGGTAAGCATATCTTTTGTCCCTGCTAGAAAGTAGCATATGCATGAGTTTTCCGTGCAGGGGCTGATGCAAGTTAAAAACAATTTTGTTGAGGAACACCAAGTAAACTTAGTAGAATTGTTTTGTAGTTAGTTATCACTGATTCTGAAATTTGATCTTCAAATTTGATAAATAATCTGGCCTTAAAAACCCTAAGTTAAGAAAAAGCAACTGAAAGGGAATCCTAAGCATGATGTCTATCGCAGGCCTTCAGTTCGTTCACCTTTTATCTATTATGAGACTTCCTTCGCGCCTAAGCTCTTGAATTCTCATTCTTGTTCTTTCTGTGAACATTTGCTAAATGCATGAAAATTGAGAAAATGTTCTATTCTTATGATATGTGAATAACCACTACTTTAAGTATGTGTATGTTTATGCATATATATGTGTGTGTATGCATATATGTATATATGTGTGTGTGTGTGCACATACACACATTTATATGTATGTATGTGTACACTTTTTTTGAAAAGGCAAGGGGGAAGAGACCTTTGAGGCATTATGACCCAGGGATGAAGTCAAATACCACCAAGCTAAGGCTTGATGGTCCTCCAACTCGCTGTCTGCTCCCCTTCACTTTCTTTGCTGGACGGGAAGATGCGAATTGTGAAGGCCTTCTTTCAGCAATTCATGGAAGAATGAATCAGGAAAAACCTATGAATTTTTCCCTGGCTACGTTTTAGGGTGGTAATTGGCAGTTCACTAAAATTGTATTATTCATAGCATCTGAAATCCAATCTGTCACCCAATATCTAAAACATGATGTCTTGAAAGATTTTTATATTTAAATGAGCTATTATAGGAATTTGATATTGGAACTATGTTCTAGATAAAACAAACCTAATCAGCTTAAATTGATGTTTACGAGAAGAAATTGAAGTAAAAAAAGCAAAGAATTACTGTTGATTTTTGTTTTCAATGTATAGAAGATGTAGAACCAACTATAACATGGCATAAGTTTGGAAACCCAAATGGCTCATTTAGTTTGGGACAAAACGAAAAGCTAAATGACTCGTTTTATTTTGGGTGAGTGGGGTTTTAAAAAAAGTTCTACGTTGGCTGGGGAGCATTTTACAGAAGTACCCTTTATGCATACAACATGATAATTTGATTATCTATACTTAGAGGCTACCTATGGAAGGTGGTCGTATACACCAAATCGCCCCTTGCTTCAACTATCCACATAAACCAAAACAAATTAAATTGGCCAAGTAAATCCCACTCGAAGGTAGGGTATTTTTTTTTTTGGGGGGGGGGGGGGGGGTTAGAGCAGCGGTTTCTGTGAAGACCACTGACTTGTGCAAGTGTGTGAGCAAACAAGTAGAAGGAACAATGACTAGCACCTAGTAACCATAGAACCAGAAAAAATAAAACAATGTAACAAGCAGTAAGGCAAAAACACATCCTTGTATCCCTCTCTCCATCATAGGACTCTGGTGATCTAAGCTGCCAGCTCTCTAGCCCCTTACCCCACCCTCAACCACCCTGACTCCCTTTTGCCAATCCATGCTAGCTACAAGTCCCCACACCTAGTTTGCTACCCTAGTCTTTCGTCTCTGGTACTCCTATCAGAGGTCATTCCCTCGGAAATGTCTAAGGCTGCCATGTCCATCCATGTCCTCCTCGGCCTTCCCCTTCACCTCGACCTCTTGATCATCACTCTTTCTACTCTCCTCAATTGTTCATATCGTGTGGCAAATAGTGTCAACGATTTTTATGTCATGCTTAGAAAGTGGTTGCTTACTCATTCACTCATGCTTTAACTGTTCATGTTAAACATGTTGTCTCACAATTCTTAGAAAAGTGGTTACTGACTCATCAATCCTAGACCCTATTCAATATTTAGTTTCTTCATAAATTTACTCTTCCGATGTTGTTGCTTGTTATTTAGTTTAGTTCATATGAAACTTCGATAATTGTTCTTCAAAAGGGAGTTGAGTCTGCAATGCTCAATTTTTTTTTCTATGGTTGATTATGCTATTTATTGGAATCTATCTGATTAGCTACATGTGTATGGCATAGTCGTTTATGATTGTTATTGTTGTTGTTGACACTTTTAAATCATCTTGACTAAATGTTGCAAAAATTATATGGGTGAATGCAAGCACATGCTCTATGGAGTGAGATAGGTCTTCAACACATTCCTTGCTTCTTTTAGTGGATTTTGCCATTGTAGCATCCCCGATCCAAATATCCAGAGACTTTATGCTAGTTTTTGCAGGTTGGTGGCTTTCCTAATGTCCACCAATGAACTAAAGTTCCTATTTGGAAGAGACTTCCAGAGTTTTTCTGAGCCATCCATAGTGTATCTACACACTCAAACTGAGAGTTTTCCCTCACAAGAACAAGTTTCTTTCTTCTAAAGATCGTTTTTATCACCCATAACGTTCCTTTGCCCCTTGCTATCTAGTTCATGTTAGTCCAAGGAAGGATATGATGGATATGATCAACCTCAAGGCCTTAGACTGCTCTGGTGAGCCAACGTAGCTCCACCACTTGGTAGAATGCCTAAGATCTTTCAAATGAAGACGTCATTGAAGAATTTAAAAATCTATGTGTCATAGAGCTTATCCCACTAAGCGGAAACATTACTTTGACCTCCTACTAAATTTTAAGAATACTCATTGAGACCATAATGGGAAAAAAACTCATGTCCATCATTCATAAGATGTTGTAGCCTTGTAGGGCCTTTAGTTCATGCATTGCAAAATGTGGAAGATCCTTAGACTTAGCGCTAGACATATTATTAAGGGGTAGAAGATATTCACAACTACTCTATGTTGTAAATCAATGAAATGCTAGTGAACTTCAAAACCCAAATATAATGTTCAACCCACATGTCAAACTAGGCAAATAGCTAACATCCCAACTTCAATGAACTCAATATCGATTCTAATGCGGAAAATAGACCAAGTCCTCATTTAATCATCAAACATAAATCTTTAATGAGCAATATGAAAAAGTAAAGAGGGATAGGAGAGGACAGGTGGGGGAGGACGACCAAGAGAAATCGACTTAAATATTGATAAAAATTACAATTCAAAATAACAGGAGAATGGTGCCGGAACTTACATAGCTCTAATGTTGAGGAAGAAAGTTTATAAAAGTGTAATATGTTAACCATACAAGTTCATAACCAAACAAATAGGGTCCCGTTTGTTTTGCAGGAATGAAATGGATTTGGATTTCAAATCCATTCCAATCCCATGTTTCGTTTGTTGCATTGTCCGGATTTGAAATCATAGGATTTAATCGAAATCCTATAAATATAGGATTTTGAAATCCTTAGGGGGTGCTCGGGATTTTATGGGATTTCGTAGAATTGTACGAAATAAGGTTTTGAAAAATATTAAAAAACATTTTATTTTATAAATAATCAATTAATAAAAATGTAATTTAATTATTTTTATAATTATTTATAATTTTTTGTATAAGTTATTTATAAATAATTGAAACCAATTCCATTCCAAATCCTACAAACCAAACACACCAATGATTTCAAATCCATTCTAATCCAAATTCTTCCAAATCCAAATCCCACAATGAGAACTGAATCCCTCAAAAACAATCCTGCAAACCAACGGACCCTAAGGATTTATTTACAACATAAACTAGTACTTGATACATTTTGTCTTGCTACTATACATTATTCCAAACTATGCATTGTGTTGTCCCCTTTCAATCTCATAGATATAAAACCTTATACCTTAGACTCTTGGTCTTAGTTTCTAATTTATGGTTCTGAAATCATGAAAAATTCCCGTTGGTTCCCCAATTCTGCATCCCCATGAATTCATGATCAACAATTTGGGGACATGATTAATGCCATTGAGAAGTTTATTCTTGAAGCACCTGACACAGGGACTTGCATGATAAAACTGCATGGTAGACATAGTCTAGAGATGTCTGTATGACCTCCATCAAATAGTCATTCATACCAAAGGGTCTTTGGCCTAGCAGTATCCGGGTTATCAGTAGAGCCCAACCTCCGAGGGTTAGGGGTTCAAACCTCATTAAAGATGGGGAGAGTGCGTTGCCATATATAAATATTGTATACTTGAAGAAAATAGTCATTCATATGCTTGATATCTATTGGGCAGAAACTCTTGCTGCATATCTTAAAGTAGTTGAATGTTTTGGGCAGTGTTGGCTTTGATTATATTAGGTGATGGATCAATTGGACATGTTTGCTTTCAAATTTGTAAAATGGTTTTATAGAATCATGTCAACATCTTTTTGTTATTTTCTAATTTAATTTTTGAGTGGGAAGATTGAAGATCGATGAAGATTTAACTTAGGATACTACCTTTCTGATTTAATATTCGAATTGATTGTGAATAACAATATGATTTATGTTTTTGCAGGGTCTTACGTGACTCATGAGACAAACCACTTTGTGTATTTCTATTTGGAATCGAAAGCAGTGTTGCTGTTCAAATCTGGTTGAGCATGCTTTAATACTGTTGTGTATTTGAAAGAAAGCCGAATAGAATGCCGAATATATACCTGTGATGTTGTATGATAGTATCTGTGTTTGAATGAATGCTTTTATAATTTACATCTTCTGAGATTATTATTCCTTTGAGGCTTAAAGTTTTATAACCAACCTGTTTGATTTGAAAATAAGTCTAGATGCATCTTGGCTGATGACTGGCAGAAAAAAGTATAGAATTTAGACAAACTTTATAGATGGAAACATAAATTTGGTGGACGAAGACAAATACTTTTTGTTTGCTTTCATGTTCTTTTATGTTTTAAGACATGTATTTTATTTACGAGTTCATAGTTCGCTTTCGTACATAGTGGTTGTAAATTGGGTGGTTAGTTTTAATAATGTTTCAATGAAAAATAACCATCTCTGATAATGGTTTGGTTGCTCATAGATGATGGTTCTTTTTTAATAGAAAAAAGGATGTAACTATTACACATGCAAAAAGAATATCATAATTTAAGTTTTTAAAACACAAATATTAGAAATGATTGCTGCTTGCTCAACATTAAATTAAATAAGATAAGAAATTTATCAAAGGAGTATTCTTACACACACACACATATATATATATATATATATATATATATATATATAGGGGCTGGTTCAAATAGAAACCAACCATATGGTACAAACTATGTGAACCGATCTTGATCGTTCATTTTATCATCAAACGGTTATTATTAAATGAGATTAAATAAACAATAATTTAATTAATGTATTAATTGATATGTGTATGAACAATTGTTCAAAGGGTAAATTGGTCAAACGGTCATTATTAAATGAGTATTAAAAAAATAATCAATTAATCATTAAATTAATTGGGCTGCTTATGAACAATTGTTCACAAGGTATTTTGGTAATAAATCCTCAYGCATCGTGAACCCGATATTCTCCAGCCGATTTGTAACCTACGATCGATTATGAACATATTCACAACTCATGTTCACATGTCGGCCCTATGCTCGTGTGAACAGCATCTGTGTCTTGCAATGTAAACACTATGTTCATATGTTCATATATGTTTACATGTCGGCCTTATGTTCGTGTGAACAGCATCTGTGTCTTACAATGTAAACACTATATTCATATGGTGTGATGTTTTTCAATGTCATACCGTATGACATCGTCACGGGTTCGTGTGAACAACGATTGTGTCTTTCAATGAAAACAAGTTGTTCATATGGTGAACATATATAAACATAGACTGCAAGAGATGCACATATATGAACATTTTCAAAATCAAGGATCATTATGCATGTGTGCAGATATGAACATAGACTGCAAGCGTTTATCGTCTTCATTATTCTAACATTCTTTTACAATAGGATTCTCCATGTATCTTGAACGAAATGAAAATCTTGTACACTTAGACAACCAATTTCAATATATGTATAGAATCAATTGAAATGAATACCATAAACTTGAAATAATAAAGAAATCATAAAAATCTCATGAACAATTAGATGTATCTTTTAAGATTTGTAACTCCCAATTAATTATTGGGGGTTACAAAAAGGTTGAATTACCAAATTACCCTTATCATTAATTTATAATTTAGATTTGAACCTAAAGTGAAAAAAGAATGTGATTGGTCAAGATCGGTTTCTATTTGAACCAACCTCTATATATATATGTATGTATATATATAATATATATGTATATATATATACATATGTGTGTGTGTGTGTAAATTGAACTAATTTGTAAAGAGTTTGTATAGGTGACAAAATGAGTTAAGTTAGCCGGTTTGAAGACGTTTGAACAATGTAATCCATCTAGTGCGATTTAAAAAGTTTTAACTCGTTAAAAATATTAAAGCAATGAAAGTTGGATTGGTCGGATTGTGACATGAAATATATTCTTGGAACACATAAATGAGAATGTCACCTCTTAACCAGTTTTTCCATGGATACATTCCATAATTTGGAAGTTTCTTAATCTTTGTTGAAAGATTTTTTTTTGTAAATCCTTAGATAAGGATTCAGAAAATACAAATCCTATTAGACACATAATTTAGTGAGGGGGCGCCAAGGTAAAGAATAGAAGACAAGATTGAAAGAAGAAACTGGACATTCAGGCACTCGCTCGCTCCCTTTGACGACGGAGACTTTCATTGAATATGGGATTGTACAAATAAGTTCGACACATTTATATAACCCTTTCAAGAACGTATCGTCTGCATGTTGACTACTAGCAATGCAAATCTTTCATCAATAACTGAGATCATGGCTTTAATAGAAGTGGAAAAATTGGAACGACGTATAACATATTTGAAAAATATATTCAAATAATTTTGCATGGAGTTATTGTAATTGTGTTGTGTCTGTCTGTGTGAAGTTATTGGGCCGGCCTACTATCCCAAATCCAATGAGATTTCAGAATTTCCTTTAATGTGGTCCAAATGTGCATTACCACATTTATCGCTCCACCTCCCTCCTCGTCGACGACTCTCCTCTCCTCTCCTCTCCGCCCACTCACTGCTGTTTTCAGGGTAGGGTTTCGAATTTTGAGAATATTCTAATTCGAACCTGTCTGTTTTTATTTTGTCTTTGCTTTTTTACATGATATTCTATTTTATCGTGTTTGGACATTTGTTTGATCTCCCAACTGGAGTAGGTATGTTTTACAGCAAGGTAATGAGAATTTTAGTTTGTGACTTTCATTACTTCTCGCTACAATTTTAGTTGGTAGTCAGTTGGTACTCAAGTGCTACTTGCTTTTTTCCAATTGCTCCTTGAAACCACCGATCAAAATAGGAACCATTGCTGTGGTCTTGAAGACGATTTTTTTGATTTGTGGATTATGGTCTTGGCTTCGGTAGACATTCCCAAACTTCAAAGTAATTTAATAACGTTTTCTTCCTCTCCATAACTCATACTGTGTTTTAGAAGCATATTTTGATGAACCTGGATGTGTATACAAGTTTTTAGTGCCCTTATTCATACTACACACCATATCCATTAAGGCGTGATTGTTGATCTATTAGGGAGGAAATGCATATTTTCATAGTCGAAACCTTCTCCTTCCTCATGACTTGAGGAAAATCTACTACATTTTCCACACCTTTGAGGGGCCTACTTTTGCCTTAAGCTTCTTCTCCTCCCACTAACTCAACAAGATTTGTTACATCAAATAGAACGTTGACCCATACATATTCGTTGCTAATATGATCAAGCGGTTGAGAGAAGAGAAATTAGAGGTTAGATCTCATAGATGTTATTTGATCCGAATTTTCTATCTATTAATTTGCTTATTTGAAAATTTATTTTTAAGTGGTTTCAATCCAATATTTATTGTTGTATTTGCTATTTGGCATTTTTGATGTAATACTTTTGGTTTTTAATATGAACATGCTAAAGTGTTAGGTCTAACTCCTGAAATGATATGTAACGACTATTCTGGATGAAAATACAAAGATGGTCACTAAATTCAACTTGAAACAAATAATACGAGGACTTTTTCTTAATTTGCTTTTTTTAAAATTATCTTTTAAGTTGTTGGCAAATAGTTGAGGGACGATTTTTTTAATTAGTAATTTGAAAATTAACCTTTTATCCTTTTGAATCATAGCTATACTCTAGGCTAAAAACTCTTGCCTTGTTGATACAGATGAGCATGGGTTATTCTTCAGTGAAATTTCAGTTTCTACAAAGGGCTTTGGACCCCTGTGGATTTGATAAATTCCAAGTGAGATATGCAACAACTATAACTTGCGGATTAAGAAAACCCTTGAGGGTCCGAAGACGTAGCGACGGGGTTTTGTCTACAGAAGCAATACAAGCAGTTCAGTCCCTCAAGTTAGCTGCCAAAAACCCATCTAAACTAGACCAAGTATTCAATTCCAAGCTCATTCGTCTCTTAAAAGATGATTTGTTGGATGCATTCGTTGAGTTGCAGAGGCAGCAACACTTGGACCTTGCTCTCAAGGTACGACATTTTGGCTTATCTGGTCAATGTTTTATACTTCTATGAGGAATTCACATAAATCTGTTTGTTAGATTCTATGTGTCACAAGATTTCATGTAATCTTCAAAACTTTCTTCAAATTTAAGGGATTCTCTTGCTGTGTCCAATCAAGTTAACTCTTACTTGAGATTGACGTACTAGTTAGTCAAAACTTTTTTTGAATCCATAAAATTTAATCATTACATGTAGCCTACTGTTTTTTCCGGCTGGAATTGAGACTTTAACATTTAAAAGTAGTTTGATTATATTAGTCAAACATGGATCGTGTTCTTGGAACCGACGGGGTATCTTTTTTGCCGGTTTTCACATTCTCCATTAGTTCCTTTTTTATTCTGTAACTGCAGGCAATCACATTTTATTGTCTTGCAAAGATTGACACGCCATGACTTTTGTGGTCGAGCCAAGAATATTTCTAATCATTTTACTTTTTTGGCCTCTCGTTCTACTTCCAATAATGCAAACAAAATTTGCAATCGTCAATACTTTAAATCGGGCATAAGTTAGCAAGTATGGTGGTTGTTCTTTTGCCAACTAAGATGTTTACTTTCATGCATTCTTGCCAAGTGTAATCTTATTTTTTGAAAGGATATGGCTGGTTAATATGTTAATGCCAGCTATGATGGTTAGAAATGTTATTCACACGGTCTTGAATCTAGAATTGACATGATTTTCTTTTAACATAGAGTGAATCACGTACTACGTCCCCAGACTTTTTGTTTTTTGGTTAATAGATCCGGTGAGAAGGATAGAAAGGGATATGATCGAGGGAGCAAGGAGGAAGGGTAGGTCGAAGAGGATGTGGGTTGAGCAACTGAAGTTGAACATGGCAGTTTTAGTTATTTCCAAGGACATGGTCTATAGGAATTAGGAGCTATTGGAGCACATGATTAGGGTAGCGGACTAGGGACGGGGATTTGTAGCTAGCGTAGTTGAGCAAGAGGGAGTTGTAAAGGTGAAGGTGGGAGATAAGGTTAGTGAGCTGTACAAGGGGTGTGTATTTTTCTTACCTTGGTTATGTTCTTGTACCTGCTTCTATTGGTTTGGTTTGTAATTCCTTACCTTAACTATTTTTTAACCTTTTTTTGTCTACCTTTCTCTATTGCCTACACTTTTCACAAGCCAGGAGTCTTCAGGGAAAACAACCACGATACTTCTTAGGGTAGAGTTTAGGTCTGCGTACATCTTACCCATCCTAGACTCCACCTTCGGGTGGTATTTTTTTGGGTTCGTTTGGTTTGGTTGACATCCATTTATGGTCTTTTGAGGAAAAAAAATCTATTTGGGTAGTTGGTGTGACTATTGGGTCTGAAATAGAGAATCAATATCGAGTATCAAATAGAAATGGAAATGGGGAATCAAATCAAAGTAGAAAATCAGAAACAAGAATCTTGGGTACAATGTCTGGGTCTATTGGCCATACAGCTTATTTGCTATTTTCATTTTTTTGCTATTTTTATCAGTTTTTCCACTCCCAAAGTATGACCTCTCAGCTTATAAAATAGGTTCCATGATCTGGGTGAGCAAGTTCCGCATATTGTTTTATACTAACATGGAGATGTGTTCGTGTATAGATATGCATAAGTGATGGAACAGGCTAGTAGGTACGGTCTCCCTTCTCCAACTTTTGTAGTTAATAGCGGTGTTCGAAATTTTAAAATCATAACTTAAAGAAGTTTTTCTCCAACACTATTTGCAACATCAACATGAGACAAACCCTTCCAAATATACTTCAGGCCACCTTCCTTGCTCAATACTGAACATGTGCATCTACACTGAAGTCGCTCTTACTCTCATCATAGGAAAAAAGGTAAATTTACCATCAGATGTCAGAATTTTTATTTTCAACTTCAAAATTGACGTAGTGTTAATTACATATTCAACACAGACCTTTTTTTATCTGTACCGTTTGCACAAAGTTAATGTGGCTGCCAAATCTTTCTTTAGATATAGACAATTTAGTAATTTGAAAGGTAGTCCGATTGGCCTTAGAATTCAAATTGTACGTCTATTCAAGAGGGAGTAATTCTTTGTCATTGATTAGTCGAACATTTTTGCTTGTCTAGGTGTTTGAATCCAGTTTCTTAATTTATGTATATTATTTCATTTCCAGATTGCATCTTATCTGAATTACAATCAGGTGTCAGGTGTTTGAATTTATGAGGAAGGAAGCATGGTACGAGCCTGCTCACTCTCTATATGGTGATTTGATGTTGATGTTTGGAAAGAAGAAACTAATAGGTGAAGTTGAAAAGCTTTTCTCTGAGTTAATCGAAGAAGGCTTGGAACCAGACACTAGAGCCTATACAGAGCTAATTGGAGCATATCTCAAAGTGGATATGATAGAGAAGGCAATGGAAACATATGAGTTGATGAAGGCATCAGGATGCATCCCAGACGAGTTGACGTTAACGATAATGATAAGAAACCTTGAAAGTGTTGGTAGAGATGATCTTGCTGTAATCATAAAGAATGATTGTGCAGACTATTTGGACTATCCAAAGAAGTTTCTCAAAGAAGTTGCCAGGAAATATGTAAGTAGCATATATTTGTGCATAAAATTGGCTAGCACTTTGACTTTTGTGGTAAAATGGACTACTTATTTGCAAAATTGATATGAAACATTCAGCTTTTTATATTGAACTTCATGACAAGTACTAAAAAATATAAAATATAGTTTTTGTGGCAAAACTGATATTAGCGTTGGACTTGAAAAGTAATTGGTTTGACCTTGAAGTAATTTTTTTTTGTTCTTTTTGTATTATATACTATTTATATATGGCAAATGAACTCCACAACCTTCTTACCTTTGGTGAGGTTTGAACCCCTGACCTTCTAAGAGGCTGGGCTCTATGGATAACCCAGATAATGCTAGGCCAAAAGTCCTTTTGTACTTATTTGCAAAAATGCATAACTTATTTTTGTCTCCTAAATATGGTTTTAGGTAAAAATTGTAGCAGATGTGTATAGAAAATAAGTGGCATATACAATGGTGAGGTCAATGCATATTAAGTTGTGTGTTCTTGTAGCTCAATTAAGAAAATGAAACTACCATTGGCATGGAACTTGTCCTATGAAAAGCTCCATTTACATGTTATTTTCGTTGGTCAACCTGTCCATTATCAATAATATCCTCAATGCTCTTGTTTATCATGTCTAGAGAAACTTCAGTCATTTGTTCTTGAAATTAAAATGCTATTTACACCCAAAGGAAGTTTTTTACATATACAATATTAATATATACACGTGCAAAGCAAAAGCGACTCCACCTCCCACATGCACAAAAAGAGAGGAAAAAACTAGCTGTTAATCTTTAAAACACCTTAAAAGACGTATCATATGATTAAATATGAGCCACTTGGACATGAACATCAACATTTATTGGTGCAAAAATGATTTTGGAAAAACAATAGAAGGAACTAGGGATTTAAAGCTTTCAAACCATTAATACTTGGGATCTCTCTAGATGCCTACGGTGTACACCCAAGATAACCTAAAGGCATGTTGTGTAAGGCAATTGAGTCAACAATAAAATAGGAAACTCCGGGTGCTTGGAAGATCGACATGGGGAAGTAGTGTCAAGAGTTTGTAGTATATGAAATAAGTTAGCCTTAGATCCATTCCAGGTGCTTGGAAGACGACCTTCACTTGTTGAAACTCCAGGGGGTTGGCCTCTAGTGTCTTTTGTTTTATTTTCTTTCTACCTCTATTAGATTGCAATAAAATGTTTGTTGTTTAGATGCCAGGGAAAATTGGCGTGTTCTTGGAGGCATACCAATGTTGCATATAGGAAATATTTGGTTTCTTGTCACAATCTTGGAGTTGGGTTCATCTTTTCTTTTCCTCTGAAGTCTAGTATGACGAGTCTTCTAGTCCTGTTATTTTTGTTCTTGATTATTTTGAGGTCTTGGTTTATGTTACTTTTGCTACTCATCAATAATGGTGACTTCACTTGTAATTTATTTGGAGGAGACTTGCTAATAACCCTAGCGCATTGTTTCTCATTTAGCAAGACCCTTGGATAATTAACACCCTTGTATGTCTCTTATTGGTTATACTTCCCAAACATACATGACATTCATTCGTATGGAAAAAGTATGGTAAGCCTATGAGATATTCTTGATAATAAGAAATGTGGCAGCTAACAACAATCAGGTATTTCATGAGTCTATTTGTTATTTCCATCATGATATATGATGCAGTCAACACTTCCGGTGTCATTTCTCTCAAACAAAACTTGGACATGCTACGGTGTCCCTTTTAAAGAGTCTTAGGTTGTATGCCAATTTGTTCGGCAACAGATGGTGTTATTCACTTGATAGACCTAGGACCAAATTTGTTTTTCTCCAGGTTAAAACATGATGAATTGTATTAAAGTAGTGTTGTTTAACTTATACCTCATATATTCTCTTTTATGTGATCATATTTAGTTGTATTTTCATGTTTTGATGATAAATAAATGGTTTTCTGTAAGTAGGGGATAGTTGACTATTGTTTTCTATCCAGCCGAAGAGATTGAGGCTGAACCTGGTTTGAAGAGCAGTAGCAGCAGCAACATGTAATCTTGGATCTATGTCTGTCTATTTGCGGCACGTAATTAGATCTGCTGCACGGTGTTTCTTTATTAAAAAAATCCAGAAATGAATTCGTATCTGATATAAATGATCTCTATATAATCACATCTGCATTTGAAGATATGTAAAGATAAGGATCTAAATTGTAACTTTTACTTGGTAACATTGTTATCATTCTTGGTGACGAGGCTTTTATCTGTAACAAGTCAGTGATCCCATGATTGATGATATTTAATAAATGTCACACATCATCTTCAGACAAAATCCGCTTATGAGGTAAACAAGATGATGTTTATTTAGTTTGTATCTACTTTGATGATCTTATTGTTATATCAAATCCCAAAGCCTTAAGCCTTTGAGAGTCTCCCATGATCACAACAATATGAACCTATCATACGTATGGGAGTTGGAAGCTGAACCTTCCTACAACAACTTCCTTATGAAATATATATATATATATACACCTAATAAATAAGTAACTTTGGGAACATGTGTCATATTTCTGTGCGACGATTATTGATTTTTTCCGCCTAAACATGTATCTAGACACAATTTTCACTTACGGTTCAAATAGGTCTATTTAAGTGACATGTGTCCTTTGGACGGTTAATTTGCGACGGTTATTGATTTTTCCTTCCTAAACATGTATCTAGACACAATTTTCACTTACGGTTCAAATAAGTCCTAAAGACTACAGTAAGAGGCTCTGCATGTACTATGCAGAGGCTCTGTGTCAGGAGTGAAGCTTTTCATCAAGCACTTAACCTTTTTGGCGTTTAAGCCTTGATCTTCCTTGGAATACAACACGGGCTCTGTATATGAGACACTTAACTCTTGAGTAAGAG